GACGAGCAGGTGGTGGAGGCGGCCTAGGTGGTATGTTCGGTGGATTTGGACAAAGTACTGCAAGAATTATTAACAAGGAAGATATCAAGGTTTAAAAAAAAGTCCAAACTTTCTTATCTCAAACAGTTGGTGCTATCGACTTCGGTTTATATTTCTTGTTAAGGTTGCATTCAAAGATGTTGCTGGATGTGAAGAAGCCAAAATAGAAATTATGGAATTTGTGAACTTCCTCAAAAATCCCCAACAATACAAAGATCTTGGTGCAAAAATTCCGAAAGTGAGATTTCAAGTTTTTTGAAGGCAGGCTAGTTTCCTAGTTTATCACTTACTCGTGTCAGGGTGCAATACTAACTGGTCCACCTGGTACTGGTAAAACTCTTCTCGCTAAAGCAACCGCTGGCGAGGCCAATGTTCCGTTCATCACCGTGTCCGGATCAGAATTCCTTGAGGTTATTTCGCTTCACTTTACGCCATCTTACTGCTCATTGCAATATGCTCATTTTAGATGTTTGTTGGTGTTGGTCCGGCTCGTGTTCGCGACATGTTTGCTATGGCAAGAAAAAACAGTCCATGTATTCTTTTCATTGATGAGATTGATGCTGTTGGTCGAAAAAGAGGCGGAAAGGGTGGAATGGGAGGTCACTCCGAACAGGAGAACACATTGAATCAATTGCTTGTGGAGATGGATGGTTAGCAAAGAATTTCTATTCTCGTCTTCTTTAACTTTTTAATCGAACTCTATTGTCATCTTCTTGAAAGCCTTCATGAAGTAATTATATGTCATATCAAGGTTTCTCAACCGAAGAGTCATCTGTAATTGTGATTGCTGCAACGAATCGAGTAGATATCCTAGATCCCGCTTTGTTACGACCTGGTCGTTTTGATCGGCAAATTTATGTACCAGTCCCTGATATCAAGGTAAACTATCTGAATGGTGTGACAACTTCAATTCAAAAAAATTCATACATCATCATTTTCAGGGCCGTGCATCTATTTTTCGGGTACATTTGGGTCCATTGAAAACATCTTTAGACAAAGTAAAATTATCGCGAAAACTTGCTGCACACACCCCTGGATTCTCAGGTATAGGTTTCGCTTTTGCCTATATTTTTAAAATCAATCCTTCAATTTTTCTAAGGCGCTGACATTTCGAACGTCTGTAATGAAGCTGCTCTCATAGCTGCCAGAGATGCCTCTGAAGAAATTAGTCAAAAGAACTTCGAGCAGGCCATTGAAAGAGTAGTTGCTGGAATGGAAAAGAAGAGCCAGGTATGTTCTTGCTTCTGCTTTTTTGTTTGGCATGATACTGTCAGTTATCGTTAAGGTATTACAACCAGAGGAAAAAAAGACTGTTGCATATCACGAGGCTGGTCATGCTGTCGCTGGATGGTTTCTTGAATTTGCTGATCCATTGCTCAAAGTAAAATCTGCAGATCATTGCTCTTTTTTGTTACAATTTTTTTCGGACTGAGAAGCCAGGGACTATTTAGGTTTCTATCATACCCAGAGGCAAAGGATTGGGATATGCACAGTACCTCCCAAAAGAACAGTATTTGTATTCAAAAGAGCAACTTCTCGATAGGTATGCTGCAAT